AAGATCATCTCTTCAAAAGTCTTTGTACAATATGTACCATAGTGTGACACTGATCTTTAGCTGGGTGTTTTAGCAGTGCAGAAATACAAATACAAATATACTATTCTTACTATCTGACTCCAGTCAGTCAGTGAAATTTGGGACATGAAACCCTCGTGTTTTCTTTCTATTAGTACAAAGATACTAATAGGTGGCAAAAGAAATGATCGAATTTCATACTGTTATGTAAATAACTGATTTCTCAATGAAGTGAACTAATTGTACTATAAGCAATATGACTGAACCAGCAAGTTCTTAGGCACAGTTTTTTATCGTACTGGCTTATACCATGTTAACATATATGGCACTTACGGGTGTGTCGGGTTTGGAGCAATTTGTCATCTTACAAGCTGCACTGTTTTAAAGAATACTGAAATAACAAATAAAGTTTACGTAGAAGATTCACATATAGGTTATGTTTTAGAACCTAAAGAAAAACTCTTGGAGGGGACTTTCCCTAGAGCATTAGTAGCAAAGGAGCAGTGCAACTTGGAAGACCCCACAATCATAGAAAGACTCATGGTGGGAGAAAAAAGAATTAGTAAGAACAGAAATGCACAGAAATGAAAAGGGGAAAAAAAAAAAAAAAGGTCAAAAGATGAGTAGATGGAAGCAGTAGATGATGGGGAGAAAAGAAGAACTTAAAGATAGGGGATGAAGGACAAAAAAAAAAAAAAGTCAGTTCCTGTCTATATATGTACTTTACTGTTCTTATCCTTTTCTTTCTATGTTTATCATTTTCCACAGTTTATGCTGAGACCCATTAAGGACATTTCTTTTCTAAACAGTAGAAATTTGAAGAAATGTTTTTACCCAAAGGAAAGAAAGGACTTTCAGTACACAGTTAATGGTGTATAAAGTCCACAAAACCACCAGGTTGCCTTATTCCCAGGAGAACACAAGCTTTCCCGCTTTCAGTGGCGTGCCTCCAGGAAATCGTTCCAGGAGGACACACAATTAGCCCACACTCTTCCAGAGTGCACAGTGTAACATGATGCAGTTAAACCAGAAGACAGTTTTCATCTTTTGACCCTGTGTCAAACATGTCAGTTGAGTAGCTTACCTGAGATCTGTAAGAGAAAATAGGCCATCAGATATTTTCCCATGGAAAGGAACATGCAGTAGACAAACACCAAAAAATGCAATTTTAAAACCTGACTTATTTTTGAAGTACAGGAAAAAGTGCTGAGCCAGCCTTTGTAAGTGGCATAACTCAGTGCATTCAGATTCTCCTTTCTTTTTGCCAGTCTAAAGTTGAAATAAAAATCTTTGCCCTTGCTTAGGATGTATGAGAAGGACATTAAAAGTGGCTCTTTCATTTTAAGCACTAACAAGATATTGAGGCCTGTGGAAGGACAGATTTGATGATATCATTGAAATGCACATCCAAATGATAGCTTGGGAATGTTCAGTATAGTGCCTAAGTCTTGCATCCATTGACATAGAGGATAGTTTCAGAAGTTCACAGCAAAACAGAATAATATTGAATAATTCCTGGGCAGAAATACACAGGTAACTGGCGGGGTGGGGGGAGCCTGCATAACTGGTAGATTGAAAAGGCACAAGCTGCACACTCAAATGACAGTGTAAAACAGTCCCCATAGCTTAATTAAATAAAACCAATAATGCGATTTAAACTTCTTTGAGTTAAAATTACTTTAATAAGGGTGTTAATTACTAGAGGATTAACACTGCTTACATGTGATAATAGATGTGGTCAGTCAATAAAGGGTGAGAATAATGTTCGTTTAAGAAGTAAAAGAATCTAGCACGGGATTACTCACCAGAAAGGGATAACATTTCAAAGTGGCAAGTAAAATCAGGGGAAGAGGTTTTCAAATTGCAGGAGGCATTAGAAGCTGAACTGTGCCATCATTACTCAGCAAAAGTTCCATGTATATTGGGATCCCTTGGAGCTTTAATGTGAAGAGTGATTATTACAAATGACATATTACATAGTTGGGAATTATTCTGTCTTCCAGAGCAATTGTAACAAATAATTTTTCAGATGAAACATTTTAAGAAAATATTGTCAGCTGAGAAGTGAGGAGAAAAGGCATATTTTAAAGGAAAAAGATCAACTTCTAAGGAGAATAATCTCTTGAAGATGTATTTCTTAGAAAAGAAGTAATATTGGACTCGACATTAGGCAGAAAGGGGTTTTCCTAATATGTTTGCAAACATAGCAGGAGGAGAAGAAAGATCTTTTGCAAAAAGCCAACAAAAAAACAAATTCTGAGTTATCCAGGTTTCTTGTTACTGCAACTTACTGGGCTCAAAAGCCTTTGCTAAACCAAGTTATCTAGACAAGAAAAACAAAAACAAGTACCAGGATTTTATACGGGCTGTAGTATTTGCTAAAACGTTTTTAGAGTTGTTTGATAGATATAAATGTGGAAGTAAACGTCTTGTAGTAGCTGAAGAAGAAAGTGAAGGTTGTCCAGGAAAGAATATGAAACTTCTGTCTAGTGATTTTTGGCTTTGCTTTTAACTTGTCTATATTTACATTCCTAAGCTACTGATTGTGGAATTCCTTGTCCAGTGATTCCCAGGTCTAGTATAGCTTTCCCTAAGGGTTGTAACTTCATCTGCTATGAAGGGTGGTTATGGTGGGTATGGTTCAGCCATACCCTGAATGCACTACTTTGGAAGAAATAACTATCTGTTTACAGTAAACCCCTGATGAGCACATCTGTAAGTGTCTGTGCCTCATGGATTGCATTGGATTTTTGTTTCTGGATGCAAACAAAATGATGCTGGTTTCTGGCCTATTATGTCTTAGATTTCAGTGGCTTTCCACGTATTCTAACTCAGCACCCAAGATCAGCTGAGGTGCTTTATTGAACAGTTGCTATATTTGTATCTTCTTCCTGCAGAGGCTTTTCAGAGAGACGGCTTGTGTATAAAATGCTGAGGGCATTGATGGCCACCTAAGAGAAGAATCTGGAGCACTGAGACTGTGATTTTTTTCTTTCAGATCTGCAGATTTTTGAGAACCACACAAATCTTAAAAATAAACAAAGACAAACCAAAAAGTTGTCGATTAAAAAATAATCAGGCTGTTGTGTTGAAACAAACTATTTTCCCCTACCTGCTGTAGAATCCCAGGTTACCTCAGTGGAGATGGTGTGTTTCAGAGTGCACGCTAGAGATCACGGACCTCTGTGGAGACCAAATGCTGCAGATTCAAGAGATGCTCATAAACCTCATAGACCTGATGTATACCCTCTTGTTAGGTTGGAAGCCTCAATCTCTGTAACAATGTAATTTCAGTATTTTTCTTAGATGTAATTTCCTCTGGTGTTTTGGTCCAAGTCAGAATATGAAAAGAAATAACTGGAAAGCTAGGAGAAGGAAATATCCCGTTCTACCACTGGATCGCTACTTCCCGGTGGCCAGGTCACCGGCTTCCTGGGTCAGTTCTGTCGCTACAGCTTCACACAAAGAGCTGAAGTCTTCGCCTCCTCTGTGAGCACAAGGCTGATGCTGTGGAACTGTGCCACGCTTACTTGTCTTCCCGTAGGCATCAGTTTACATTTGCACGCCAGGGCCCTGTATCTAAAACTTCTTCTTTCAATCCCAGCAGTAATTGGACTGAAATTTAAACTTGGAGTTGTAATTATACTTGGGCAGACCACTATGGATGTTTAGTTCTAGGGTCCAGCAGCCTGACTTTATGGATTAGATGTGCGTGTATTACAAGGACAGTTTGGATTAGTTAGTTCAAAACAGCATTTGTCAGATAATGACTTCTCGTGGTATAGTATCTATACTGACCTCTGGTGAGACTGCAGGCATCTAGAGTTACTCATATGGATTCTGCTAAATATTAAATATGACAGATGGGACAAGAGTGTTCAATTCCAGAACACAGTATGGAAGTTGAAGTGAACGTGTGTTGTGTTTAAATTTTATTCCAGTTACACCAAGTTAGATGATTTTTAATTAGTTGCACCTTCTCTAGAGAAGGTGGTTAAAATTGAATTTTAACATTAGATTTTTAAATTTTTGAATACATCTTTTTAGTGAAACACTTCAGAGGGATTTTTACAGGAAGGATTGAGACAACCAATATGGTTTTAATCCCCAAGAAACTTATTTTAAGGTACTGTGCCACATCACGTGCTATTTATGGCATTATTTTGTAGATGAGTAAATAATTTAAAGCAAGCCTGTTATAAGTCTTGTGCAGTTGAAAAAACTGCTTATAGAACATTTAAGCTTAAATAAACTAAACTGTAAAAAGTGCCTCTTCAGTTAATAATGGTTTTGGTAAATTTCAATGTTTAAGTACTACTGGCAAGCCGGTGTTTAAAAAAAAAAAAAACAAAAAACAAAAACAGAAATCAAATGAAAATGACAGCTTAAATTTAACTGTGCTATATTAAATGCTTCATAATTTTAAGAGCTGAAATTGTATTTTCAAAGTCTTGTTCAGGTCAGAGGCAGATGTCCTGTTTTGGGGGGCTGCACTTGTCATCCCTGTGTGCTGTTTGGGCGTGTACGCCTCTGTGTCAGAAGCTCAAAACCAAAAACAAAAGGTGAATGACCTGAGCATTGCATAATACACAATTTTTAATCCACACAAATGTTACCATTGACATAGTTTTATGCTTTGTCTAAAGGGACTTCGTGTACACGCTAACGGGCTTGACAGGAACAATTTGGCCTGAGCCCGTGCCCTCTGGAGCCTGACTGTCTGCCAGGCTTCTGCTTTTCAGACTCTTCCCTGTTCCTAGACTCAAAAGACGGTTCTTTTGCTACTAGTCCAGCTTATTCTTTAATGATGAAGAAGAACACACTTCATAATAAACATTTGCACTATAATTAAACAAATCTTCTTTGAAGAGGTATTACTTGTTGCTATATTGTGTGTTGCATAGGGCCTAGCTATTTATATTTGCCTCAGTGACTATTTTTCAGTGACTTTCTTCAGATGTTGCATCTTGGGCTGCTTGAAGGTTTAATGGGATTTGTAAAAATTATATGGTGCGAGTGTTTTTCTGGGTATGGTAACAGCAACTTGTTCACATGACTTCAACAGCAAGCGTTTTATTTTGTAGGCAGGCCTAAGTTCATTTGAAGTGCCAAAGAATAAAAAAATGTATTTGGGCTTGCTCATGAATATAACAAGACCAGGCATCTCTCGGAGTGTACCTCAAGGTCCAGATTTTAGGAAAGAATTCTGCCCTTTCAGAGAATTTAGGTTATAAAGGACTTAATTAAACACAAGTAACTTCTGTATTTTTCTTAGCATAACAACAATTCCCAGTGTTTCAGCTGTCATAACCTCTGAGTTTATACACTATACACTTACAAATGTGTTAAAGATTGTATCCCAACATTCATGATAGTGACAGATATGATTTTCACTTATAACTTTGAAACAGATGGAAGCATTTAAATATAAAAGTGTTTCATTCTTGTGAACATTTAAATGTCCCCAACTTAGGCACAATTTCTGCACAGTGCTTTTTTTTTTAAGAAAAAAAAAAAAAAGCACGTTTTAATGCAGTGGCTTAAAGACTGAAAGACACTGCCTTTCTAACACAAACTATCCTTCCTTTGAAAATCCCGGGCTCAGTTTTCAAAGCATTGCCTAGGAATTTAGCCTGCGACCCCCATTGACACTAATGGGAATTGCATAGCTAAGTCCCTATAACATCACTTTGAAAATGCATTTGTTATACCAATCCAGGAAAAGGGTAGCATAAACTATAGGGAGACATTCACAGATCAAGAGATCAATTTACACGTTGAAATACAAGACCAATGTGTGTTATTCCAGTTATGTGATCAGTAGGGGGGATTTTAAAATTCACCACATTCACAAAATAAGTCACCAGGAGTAAACAAAACAAAATATTTTGGCAAGTGGCAGGCAGACTTGCTAACCAGGCTAACAAGATATTTGTCAGCAGTAATGAACACCAACTGATTAAGTGATAATTGCATTTGTTTGGTGCAGTGTTACCCACAGTTAGCAAACTCTGTCTTTTTTCCTTGTAAGCTGGACTTAGATATCTATATTTTAAATACTTCTGTTGTTCCTTTGTGACCAGAAAATGTTTAGAGTGAACAAGACTTGTCTTTGTCCAGTTCTGATTCTGGTCCTTCACGTTTTAGTTCCAATCTAGTAAGTGCTTTCATGGTGTGCATGCTTTAATAAACAGGGAGATAACATTTGGTGAACGAATGGGGGTGTTATCTTCATGCTCATGCAGGGGTTTCTTGTTAATTCGTTGGAAATAAGTATATACCTGTGTAACATATATTCACGTGTACTTGTGCGTGAAACATAAGCAGAGACGGAAAAGAAAGTGTCGTTGTTGTGGAGCTGTGTTACTGCAGTGCCTATGAGTCCCAGGCATGGCCCATGGCCCCGTTATGCTGGGCAGAGTATAAATAAGTGTTTTAACAAAAGGAAGACAGCACTGCCTCAGAGTTCACAAACCGATGAGATTATAGCCCCACGGAAAGGTTAACGTTATGTCGGAAATTATGAAACAACCATTCTAGTTGACAGGCTTCCTCTTCGGTCATCAAACCCATTTGTTTGTCTGAATAAAAGGTGTATATAGGTACCGTGTGAGTTCTTTGGGGTGGGAAATATTGAGGAGTGGGATATTTGTGAGTGGCTTCTGTGAGTTTACTGTGTTTAAAATGGAAAAAGTCCCCTTCATCTTTGGAGCTTTTAAACTCCAAACCCCAGTACAAATAGTAGTAATTGAAATATTAATATATTTGCTATTCCTTTATCTTAATGACTTAAATGATACATAGCTAACAACAGTCATAGGGCTTTTTTTCTAGGTCAAAAGCCACACATCCTCAAGGAAAAAATTGCAATGTTATTCCTGTATTCTCTCCTACGAAAAGATTTGGCATAGCTGCAGTTGTATATGCTTGGCACCGTTCATTTCCCAGACGAGTTCACCAGTATTCTAGGCTTTGGGATTTTTTTAATTAAAGAGGTCAAAATCCATTATATCTAAATTTCAAAGAATTTACCAATTAGCTGTAGTCTGCGATGCCCAGCAGGTGGCTTTTATACTATTAAAGGGAGATTGTTTCCATCTCTGATCAAAGCAAAAACAAAACAAAGGAAATATAGAATATTTTGCTGTACACAGTGCAAACCACATGCTGTGTAAATTATAGGTGAAAACGGTATGTGAGAGACTGTTCAGTCGTAGCACTTGAAGAAAAAATTCTATATATTTCCACACTGTTCTCCGTGAGGATTTTAATGGTAATGTCTAAATCTGTTTAGATTACTGATTAGCTGAGAAGATTAGACAGCTTGCTATTTCCTAAAATGAAGATTGTAGCATTTTCTTGCTTAAAAGTAAAAATGCACAATTAAGTAGATTAATGAATTTGCTAAAAGTAAAATTAGAAAAAGCTGAGCGTGCTGGAATGTCACAAGATGCAAAAAAGTTCCAATTTGCACTTTTCAATGAATCTAAACTTCCCGATTTTTACCTACTTAAAAGAATGTTTGTGACCTTTTGACCCTTTTGTTATCCCTTGCTCAGAAAGGCCTTTATTCTGTAAGGCTTAGGTATAAAAAAATAAAAAGAGCGTTAATGGCATAACAGTCCTTTCTGATCACCCTGTGTAAGATGTTTATGCAAAGTGTCAATAGAAGCAATTGGCCTAACAGTGTGACAACCTGCTTTGCTTGGAAATGGGCTAATCTCCTGTTTGGGTTATCCAGAGGTCAGGTAAGGATTTCTTTTTTTGCACTCCCCATAGTGCGTGGATACATAACCTGCAAACACTACAGGGCAGAAATCAGAAGCAACTGAGCCCAAGAATGCCACAAAGCATTTTTCTTCTTAATCTTGCCCTTTTTGCTTTTCCTGATTTTTTTTTTTCTCTGCCTTCTTTTAATTTTTCGCTTCCTAGTCCCATCCCAGAGAGTCTACTTGAGCGTATAACACATAACGATGACAGGGACTCTACCAATATAATTATCTGCTGCTTCACTTTGGTGTGTTTTTTTTTTCTTTCCCAAACAGGCATCATCCCACTCTTTTTTGAAGTTCACGTGGAAACCTACTTTAAATCTCAGTTTTTGAGGGCTGCCCCTGTTGCCCTGTCACAGCAGGCTGGAACTCAATAGGCGCTCAGGCAAGCATAGCGGGCCAGGCAATGGGCCTTGGCGGGCTGCATGCTGTGAACTCCTGCCTCACTGAATCAGCTTCTGTGTGTTTTTATAACTGCCTTTTTTTTCCCTGTTAATTATGCCCCAAGGCTGTGGAAAGACAGCATTTATCTGTTTCAACAGACTAAGCAGCAAGTGTTCTGACATGTTTATCAGGCAAATTGTACCTGACAAAAGGTAATTACACATGCAATCAAGTCCAGAAGTAACTGGGTGATTAGGGGTTAATAAACTCTTTAGCATAAGAAATATTCAGCTTGTGAGCAAGGAGAGTGGGCCAGAAGGACATAACTGACAGTGATACGTTTGATGGAATATTTGGATTTACAGGTAGGTAAGCAGGATATAAAGTCTACAACTCATTTTTATCTCCAGCCCCTGAATCGCTAGTGCCTAGTTATACAACCAAAGCTATCTGCAGACGCTTGATATTTCAGAAGAGATAACAGCACTATTCCAACTTGAACTAAGCTACCTCGATAATTTAAAATTACATTTTTTCTAGTATCACCAACATGCTTAGTGTTGTCTAATGGACACTGCCCCCATTTCCTTCTGTGAAGCCCTTCTGTTGGCTCTGTGGATAGCTAGTTACCAAAGTTGCATTCTCTTCCAAGATTATTCCTGACAGTTGCCCAAAAGTAAAAAGGAAAGGGCATCTGTATGATATTTGAGGATGTGACAAGAGGTTGAAACAGCATTGAAAGGGACGGATGGTCGATTCCAGCAGTTCCCAGTGCACAAAATTCTCACGTAATTACAAGATGGCCTAAATACAGGACTAACGGCTGAGCTACTCAGGACTTTAGGTAATAAAAGACAAAGCTTTACTGAGCAATGATTACCATTAATTTCTATCCAAACACGGCCATATCACCTAGATGTTGGGAAAAAGCAAGAGTTCTGAACTCGAAGAATAGGTGCAAGTGCCCTATTTGAAACCACAATTCTGTCCCTAAAATCTTAAGACCTTTTTTCCCCCCGTGGCACCAATATTGTAATGTTTTGTGTTAACCAAACCCATTATCTATCAAGGTCTTAAAGTGGGACCTCTTTTAACTGAAAAACAGTTTAGTATCTTTTACAATAAGATTGTTGTGTTTAAAATATGTCTTCTAATTAAAAACAGCAGCGTTATCTGTATCATTTAAGAGATGCCTATAGCCTTTTATATAAGTATATATAAACACCTTTTTTTCCAAGTGGTGTTTATTTTGAGTAGAAAGAGCTTATGTTAGACACGTAAAAGGCATTTAGAAAATACACAGACAGCAACAAAAAGTTAGAAAATCAGCGTATTGTAGGGCATCATTCAAAATGCAAGTGTAGAACAGCAACCAAAGGCCTCAAGTTACCTATAATGTTAGAATTATATATGTGACTGATAATGTCGTGGTTTGAGAGGACAACACTTCTTCATACGCAGTAAAAGGAACATGCTGCTTTCTGATCATCAGCCCTGAGCGTCCCAAGGTGTTGGATAAAGGTTCCCCTTCTATCACACCTTTAGAAGAGGCAAATCCTCTAAATAAGGCAGAAGCATATACCACATCTATCTTGTACGTAAGTGGACAGTCTATTGAACATTCCATCTGGTATACTAGAAAGGATAAAGCTTTTCCCGTGTTCCTTTCTTTTTTGGTAATGATTCACACACACAAACGCACACACTTCTCTGCAAACTCTTTTTGTAATTATTCTTAGTCAGAAGGGCTTGAAGATCTGTTCCCTTGCTCCTCAGGAAACATACTTTGCTTCATTATAAAATTCTCAGGTATAGCATTGCCTGTCTTAGCTTATTCTTATTTTTCATGGGATAAAGAGACTACAACAGTGCCATTGTTCTTACGTAGCAGGGTGCGTATATCTAGTTTATTAGGTGCTTCACAGGGTTTCCACCGCATGATAAGCTGGTTCTGACAGAGCACCCTCGGGTGGCTCCTTAGGTGGGGCTGAGCAGCTGACTAACAGCTAATGATCTGCACTGCCTCCAGACCCTGAGAGTAGCAGGAGAGATTGCCTTTCTGTCCGGTTTGAAGTATTTCCCGTACATGTTAACTTTGGAAAGATGCATGTGCAAAATAAACATTTTTCCTATTGTACTTTCAAAGCAAACAATGCACATTCTAACCTTGAAGAAGTTGCAGCCAGCAGCGCCAGTGTGATGTGCTACATTGTGTGGATTTTGATTGATTTTTGAAGCAGGAAAATATTTATTGCCAGGACCTACTCTGTGCACGTATTTCTCTTATGACAGTTTGTGCCAGTGTGGACCATTCCTTGCTAGCCAATACATCTCATTTTCAGTTATTGCCTTGGTAATAGCAACAGTGTTAGTGGATAAAATAGTAGTAGGGAAATGTTGCTTTAATTTGGCCTTTGATAGGTTGATTCTAGTTGCCACAATAAGAACTACTGTCACTGAACCAGCAAATTCTCCTGTACTTCATGTTTCACAACCGAGAAGCCATGGGGTGAGCTCACCTGAACTTAAATCCCCTAAATGTTGTTGTTTAATTATAGGTGATACTCTTTTTGGCAAAATTAATGCTTCTACGATTAGACTTGCCCTTGATACAATTTTTGTTTTTCCACATTAGTAGTAATCACAGTATTTAAAACTGCAGAGAGTTACAGCCTTCTTTTATTTCAGTGGAACTTAACATATCCCACATAATACATCTCTGTAGTATGAGTCACGTCAGCATGTCAAGCCAAATCCACAAAGTATTTCCATTATATCTTCGCCTGAAGTACCATGTAACATTACCAAAGGCTGTCCCCTCTCCTTGTGGTTTTGTACACACCTAGTCCCTGTCACATTAGGAAATTATTTTAATATGCATCTACTGTGAATGAAAATACAGCAAAAATATAGGCAAAGAGTTGGGGTGGTTTTTTCTCCTCTATTGAAGACTTGGCCAAGTTTTCATGATGAATTTCATGTAGCTATCTGTTTGCATGAATTAAAAAACGGACTTCTTTCATCTTCATGTTCTTCTCTTATTTTCAATAATCTTTATGTACAGATTTCAAGATAACTTTATCATTTACTAAAATAAAAATCATCTACCAAAGGATTAGGTAGGCCAGTGCTTCATTATCAGCTTTGTCTTTCCAAGAGTATCTTCAAATCACGAGTAGCCCAAATATTTTTCTGCATCTTTGAATGGATGGGCTATCTTCCAGATCATGTGCCTGTGGCCAAGACAGTCCCACTTTAACAGAGGTCTTTCTATATGAGGAAGAGGAATTCAAGTGCTTCATTTAAATAAGACGTTTTTGTAGCAAAAGGCAGTGTAAATCAGAAAGGAACAGAGTAGCAGAAGTTGAAGCAGACTGTAGGGTCACTAGCTCTGCAGCGCGGCTGCAGGAGTGAAGGTGAATTCGGGGCTGAGCTTGAGGGAAGCTTTGTATGGGTGGATTGAAGTTATTTCCCATACATGTGTGATGGTCCTGGGACCAGCAGCTCATTTCTGCTAGACTGTCCTTGCTGCCGTTGGCTGCTTGCCAGCCTGCTTCCCTCGCAAAGTGCCTGCATTGACTGTACATCCGCCAAGTGCCAAGTCAGATGCAGGTGATATGAATGGCCAGGACACAGATCCGAAGAGCTGCACACTAGGCAGCTCTGGCCCACCCACAGTGTACAGTACATGCTGTCAAAGCCCATTAGGGACAGCAGTATGCCACAGCGCAGGACTGCAGCTGTGAGGGGGACAAAGCGCACAATGCGTAATTGTGCACAGCAGCAGTCCGGTCTCCAGCAGCATCTGCAGCTCCGTCGCATTTACTCCAGCAGCAGGGCACATTTGTCACACTGCAGCCCCTGAACACATGCGCAGAAGGAGGGAAGGGAGCTACGATTGGGTGGCATGTGTCATTTGATTGCATGTCCCTGGTCCTTCGTGTTACCTGTCATGACAGCTGCTTTAACTTAGGAGATTTATTAGCATGAAGCTGGTTGTGTGCAGCTCTTTGACCAAGTGTGGAGCAGGGAAGGGCCTCTGGGTACATCCCTCTTGCCGATAGTGTCTCTCAGGGTGTTCGCTCTTCAAAGCCAGGACTGTCTTGGAGAGCACAGAATATGCTGCATGTTCTTTTGGGACATTGTTTTACCTTGTGTTGAAAAGCAACAGGCTCCATGGTCTGTTCAGAGCCCTACATGCCTACCTGTATTTGGTCAGGTGACAACTGAGGTGTAATCTTCACTATCACTGAGATGTCCCAGAGCCACGACACAATCAGGCAGTTGATTCAAGCACTGGAAGTATGGTATGAAAATCGCTCATGCAATATTGGCAGGAAAGTGTGTTTGAACTTGTCAGCACTGTAATTGTATCAGCCATCGACGGCTTTGGGCCTCACGTTGCTAACAGGACACAGAACTTCAGGGTGTTTAGGATTTCCCCAGAACAACCTCCATTTCAGTGTTACAATAGGGATAAGAAATGAAATCTTTCAGCTTTGATTTACTGAACACAAGTGCTGCAGGAGCATTGGCACCGTCCTTTCTTAAGGACCATCTCCCATGTGGAGCCCATGACAAGTGGCGTTGTAATTAGTAGTAATTCGTTAATACATTCTGTTTGCGTCTGTGTAAGAGAGACAGAACATGAAGTCTCCAAATTATATAGTTTGGGTTCCTGTGGTTGTCAGCTTTATCCTCCCAGCTTGTGTTGTGCATCTGCTTGTCCTGTCTTGCTGCTCTTTTGATCGTGCTTTTGAATATATCATACAGCCTCTGTGAGGACTGGGCACTACTAACTGTTGTAACGCAGGTAACAAGAAGTGATGAGTAACATGCAGCAGCGACTGAGGCCATGGGTTTCACAAATGCCACTAATTCCCGAGTTATCAGAGCCTTCCCAAGTCTGTTCGCTTAGTGACTTAAAGGCATGTTCTCTTCTCTCCAGCTCAGTAGGAGATTTGATGGTGCCCATCCTGAGAAGGAACTATTTGCATTTGACCTTGAGGGCTGTCATGGATATGTAGTCAGTAGAGAATGAAATAACATCCTTGCTTTTTATACACCTTTCACCCAAATGAGATAGTAAAATGTAAAATCTAGATGTCACTGAGGTTTGTAATGGTTCCCGGAGGACTTCGGAATGACAGAGCAGTAGCTGTCCATTATAAAGCCAGGAAATGTTACAATGTATTCATAAAAGACTATACTACAAATATGGAAGGAGTAATTAATTAGAAAATAATTTGTTTAAATTAGACATTTTATTTGAAAATAACATAAGAAAGGGGTTAGGCAGTGGAAAAATTTGGAGAGAAAAAAAGCATATAAATTTGAAGCTGTGAAGACCATGTGTATGCTTTCATTTTGTAATTAAATTGGTGTTAGAATTTTGGGAATGAACATTACTGAAGACCTGTGACGTTTTATCAGACGGAGAAGCCTGAGTAAGGCAAGGCTGTCAGAGGTGCCGTCCTGCTCTTAGCGCACCCTGAGAAGTCAGAGGAGTGGGCGCCTGCTGCAGCTCCCTGCCTGCTGTAACAGCTCTGGTCTGGCTTAGCAGAAAGTAAATGTTTGAAGTGAAAAGGGTTCTTTATTTAAATAGCAAAATGATACGACCTGCAGTAGTCTATTATGTTTCTTAAAGTGCTTTTTTTACAGAAAATCCTGTTCCATCCCACCTTTCCAGGCCTTACTGATGTAGGAAGGCCTCTGGGCAAGCAGGGGCTCTAGGTTACAGTGAGGACCCAGCTCAGCGGAGCAGCCACGGGCACCGTGAGCCAGGGCAAAATGTTGTTAATGGTTCCCCATGCTCATTCTCACAGTAGGTTTGGCTAACAGCGGGCAGCCTGAGAACAAGCCCGCGTTAGCCCTCTGCAGCAGGATGAGGCCAGGCATCAGACGCGGGGGGAAGCTGGGGCACCCCGCCATTGACGTCAACGGGAGCGGGGCCCACTAGCCCGCAGGTAGCCGTGGGAAAGGCTCCACTGAGCGGGGCCGCCCGTGCCCTGGCCCCGGGCAGCCTGGGCAGGGCGCCCGGCCGTGCCTGGCCCACACCCGTGATGGCGGAGGGGGAATTAGAATTGGGCTTTGAGGGCTGCTGGAGGTTAGGCAACGCGTCTGCTTGTAAAAGCAGGCTGTTTTGTTGAACAGCAGCTGCGAGATGGTGAGTCAAAGGCCTGATTCGAAACCGCGGCCAGACGCAGGACTGCGTTTGGAGGCTTTTTGTTCCCCCATTTAAGTGTTTGGGGTTTGTTTGGGCAAGAAGTGTGCCCAGGGCTTGGGGCTGAATCACAGGGATCAGTCACCATGGAGAGTGCAGCAGGGGTTGTTTAATTCACTTAATTGAGACTACCTGAACCTCTGGTTTAAATTACTGTGAGCAGCCACAGACACGAGCATCCCCTTCTCCCTCCCCGCGGCAAAGCAAGCTCCCGAAAACAGCAAAGCGCGGAGGCGTTAGCATCCCCTCCTCGGGCCGAGGCTGCACAGCCGCCTCCCAGCGCCCGCAGCCAGGCGAGAAGGCGTTAAAGAAAGAAGCGGGCAGGTGAAGGGGCTCCCGGCGAGGGGCTGCGGGCCGGTGACGGGGCTCCCGGCTGGGCTCCCGGCGAGGGGCTGCGGCCGGGCCCGGCCCGGGCGGGCGCCCCCTCCCGCAGAGCCGCTCCGCGCTCCCCCACCCCCCCCTCCCT